CAACAGATGCTCACTTCAGTCAATCGGCATCAAAAACTCATCAAATGCATGCATGACTGACAGATCCGCATCATGACTAGCACAACAATCTATCCATCAGGCCTTGCACAAGCTGTCCCAGCATGCCTTGCTCAAACTGCCATGCCTGATGCAACATGACTCTGCCACATGATTGGTCAGAAGCTGGGTGGTGTCACCAAGATGTCACAAAGACGTCACCATGGTCTGCAGCTGGCTGCTGTTAGAGTGCGGTTAGAGTCACATTCAAAGAGAGCAAACATGTCGGATGTTTGACAACGCTAGAAGTCTGCTCACAGAGGAGGGAGGGAGAGGAAGAGAGTTAGTAAAGGGAAAGAGCGAAGATACCAGAGTGAGGAGGTGCGTCTCCTTTGCAGACTCCTGGAAGAGAAGGAGTCATTTCTCTCTTTTACTGCCCAATTTGCACAGGAGTTAGAAACATGTAGTTATTTAAGAAGTGTTATCTAAACTACAAATACCACAATAACCGTCTTTATTACTTGGAGATGGACCTTAGCTTAATGTTGATAATCAAAGACCCACAACAAAGCAAAAGATGGGAAAGAGGAGTACTATGTCTCCTGATATCTTTCCTTAACGCCATGAAATTTCCACCAATATCAAAGAAAATAGTTTTTAACTCTTAAACAAGATCCCATGTCTCCCACATGGGTTGTCCAAATCTTTCTGTTTATTGGTTGGTTACCTTTGGCTTTAAAAATCGATAATACAGCCTGGAAATTCACCACTTTGTGACCCAATGAGAATCCCTGGATTTACAACCAAAGCTTGTAGAGCCGGTTCCTCACCTCCAGCTCTCTGAGGATGCCGCTCTGACCACAGGTCTCTAAATCCTCCAGAGCCTGAGACCAGAAGTTCTCCTCCTGGTCTGGTTCTGTCCCATCGTGGCCCACCGTGAATCTGAGAGGAAATCAGTCAGTCAGTCAGCAGCAGGAACAATGGGGGCTCAGTAGACGCACACAGGGCCGGCCGGTGGTGGACTATTCATGCCGGTGAGTGTTTGTTCAACAAAAGGGGAGGTGCTAGTGTGAAGGAAGGTCAAAGGTTATCAGGTGAGGGCTGACAGAGGACTGTGAGGTGGGGGTCAAAGGTCCGGAGTCAGTGTGGTACCTGCTGTCAGTGATTAGGCCGCTGGGCAGATTACAGCCGCTGCAGACAGAGACACACTGCTGTTACTAGCTACGTTACTAATGCGACTGATCCACAAACCTTTGAGTCTCCCAGCAGCTGAAAAGGGGAAACTAACGTTTCCTGATGTGCAAGCTGTTCAAACACCAGTCTGAGGGGTTTGTGTTATTGCTTTATTAATCTTCAAGTATCCAACATTAAAACACGTCAGTGAATCGGTTAATAGAATAGTGTTAGTTCAACGCTAAAGGCTTTGAAGGGAGGATGCTAACAAACTCCTTATTAAGTCATTTTCTCTTTCGCTTTTGAATCCTGTGGTGCTGCGTTCACTGCCCTCAAACGCAACCTGAATCCTATGGTGCTGCGTTCACTGCCCTTAAACATAACCTGAATCCTCTGGTGCTGCGTTCACTGCTCCTTAACACAACCTGAATCCTCCAGTGCTGCGTTCACTGCTCTCAAACACAACCTGAATGCTCTGGTGCTGCGTTCACTGCTCTCACCCTCCAAGCGGTGGGCGGTCCCAGTCGTCGTCACTCAGCCCCAGGTCTGACAGCGGATTGGCCTTCTGGCGAGCGCAGGAGCTTTGGCTGTTGGTCGTCTTGAGGTTGCGCCACTCGTGGAAACTGTAGGCGGACGACTGGAAGGGCGGAGCTACGCGGGCGGAGCAGAGAGGGGGGGTTTCTGTTTGGGTCGCTCTCAGCCGGACGATTGGCCCGGAGGCCTTGGGGGCGGAGCCTACCTGTGGTGGAGAAGCTGCTGTCCATGTTGGAGCCGTCCCAGGACTCCACGGCGCTGTCCACCGAGGGCAGGGTGCTGAACCCCCGGCTGGTGGGAGGAGCCACCATGACAACAGGCTCCTCCTCCCCGTCCTGGCTCTCCGGATTAAGCCCCGCCCCCAGCCCCAGGCTGGAGCCTATCACGCAGGACTTGGGGCTGGACACTGCGGACAGACGGTGCTGGGTTATAAA